CACGGAAAGTTCTGTTGTACAGCACTGCTATCTGCAAGAGTGAGGCTACACCTAAGCAGCACCTTTTGAGAGGTCAACCAGGAAGCTTTAATTAGCTGCCTTTTGTCAATCTTCCCCCTTCTATCAGTTCATCAAGAGCTACCTTAAAGATTTATCGAGGACCTTTGTGCCCTAATGAAAACCAGCACTTACGCAGAGTCCTCTAATTACAGGAGAGAACAGTAAATTAGCAGAGAGGTTGCAGGCTCCAGCTCCTCAGAGCAGTAAATCTGGTATCCAAAAGGCACTTTGATTCTAAACCTGAAAACGGTTATTCTGGTATGAACAGTTACATAAATAATAATTGACGTGAGTTTGACCTTATATTTTATAAAGCAATTCTATTAGTTGCTGATTCTGAAATATAGAGTTTATTACTCCCAAAGTTAGACAGTCTAGCTTTTGAAAGTTATTATATACATTAAAAGACCATCTTTATGAAATACTTTTACACAGACCGAAAAGGATTCCTAAGATATCTGTTCCATGCAATTGCTCTGAAATATAGCCATATCTACTACACTAACAAGTCTCATTTTTAATCTTCTTCAGAGAAGATAGCACAGCCCCCTTTAATCATATGCCCTGACTTAATTTTGAAACTCTAGCTTTTCGACTTTTGTTTAGATTATGCCTAAGTATCAAATACACATAGGCTATGGACTAAACTGAATGGTAACTTTGGTTGTGACTATATGAGAGAGATGGGAAGTTCTGATTTAATTAATGATCTTACCTCATTATCATCTAGGACCTAATTCTTACATGTAGTCAACCTAAATCCTTTAACATTTCTGGCTCGAAATGATTTTCTAGCCTTTTGGTCAGCCTCAACCACTCCAAATTCTCCACCCTTTTTACGGTTTTGAGTTGTGTTCTGAATCTTAGTAAGATGATCCTCTCTCAAATTCTTAAGTCACACTTGAATTTGTATGTCCCTGTGATGCGTTTTGCCCCCTCAGTATATCACAAAATGATTGTGTGTCCTTGCCACTTGGGTGCAAAGCCAGTTTTCTATATCTCATACTTGTGTGTTTTGTATTTAGACTTTTAAAAATATACCTCCCTGCCCTTGGGCCTATCAGATTTCATGGTACTTGTTTCTGAGCTCAGTTAAGGGGCACCAGAAAGGGGGTATTGGCTTTTGACTCTGTCTTCAAGTCAGTAATTCATCTGTGTTCAACTCTCCTGTTCCTTACTTAATAACTTTGTTGCTTCCCTAAGTGCATGTACAGTAGCTTAACTTAGCAGAAGTCTGAGCTGACCATTTTCTTTGTTTGTTTTCCACTTCCTTAAATGAGACACAGAATCATCTAGTGGGGAGTGTTCCATTTTGATGTTTGACATATTAGCTACAATTATGATTGAGCTTAATTACTTGTAGTTCGCTTTTTCTTTGAATTTAAAATCTGCCTTCTCCTTTCTAGGTTAATTTGCTTAGTAGAAAATTGTATCATTGGGCTTCCCTGGTGGCGCAGTGGTTGAGAGTCCGCCTGCCGATGCAGGGGACACGGGTTCGTGCCCCGGTCCGGGAAGATCCCACATGCCGCGGAGCGGCTGGGCCCATGAGCCGTGGCCGCTGAACCTGCGCATCCGGAGCCTGTGCTCTGCAACGGGAGAGGCCACAACAGTGAGAGGCCCGCGTACCACAACAAAAAAAAAAAAAAAAAAAAATTTGCATCATTAATATTAGTAATCAGATTGTGAATTACTGTCTTTTTTAAAAAATATATTTATTTATTTATTTGTTTTTATCTTTGGCTGTGTTGGTTCTTCGGTGCTGCACATGGGCTTTCTCTAGTTGAGGCAAGCAGGGGCTACTCTTCGTTGCGATGCGCAGGCTTCTCATTGTCATGGCTTCTCTTGTTGCAGAGCACGGGCTCTAGAGTGCAGGCTCAGTAGTTGTGGCGCACAGGCTTAGCTGCCCCGTGGCAAGTGGGATCTTTCCAGGCCAGGGACCAAACCTGTGTCCCCTCCATTGGCAGGCGGATTCTTAACCACTGTGCCACCAGGGAAGCCCGTGAATGGTCGTCTTAACTCAAAATTGTTATGTTTTACTCTCAAAACTTACTGAAGTATAAGTAAGATATACTGAAGTATATCTTCTAAACTAAAGTAGATAGAAAACTTCTTTACGAAGGATTTAATAAACTGGAAAGTTTGAAGAACTACTTGTATAAGATCTGGTTTTATGTTGTTACATCCACAGGCTCTTCAATAGCAACAGTGTAGTAGAGGGGTTGGCAAACTACAATCTGGGGACCAAAGCACTCACATAAGAGCTTTACGATTTCACAAATTAATACATCTATATTTCTGTTTATATATATAAAGTTTTATTGGAATACAGTGATGGAAATTCATGTACATATAGTCTATAGCTGCTTTCATGCTAAATGGCAGAGTTGAATAGTTACAACAGAGACTATATGCCCTGCAAGCCTAAAATATTCACTGTCTGGCCCTTTACAGGAAAATATTTTTGACCCCTAGTATAGTAAAAACCCTTGAACTGGGAAGAGTAGTCAGAAGACCTCCATTCTGTCTACTCTTGATTCTGTCTCTAAGTTGGCAGCAACCTTAATAGGTTACTAAGCCTCTCTAGACCTCAGTTTCTTCATCTGCAAAATGAGTCTCCTAGAATGAATCATCTTGAAGGTTGACTCTCCAACTCCAATAAAATTCTATAAATCCATAAACTGTTCTGGAACCATTTTGCTGTTTTACATAATAGCTTTGCATTGAATTTTTGAACCACATGCAGTCACTGAGTTTAGAGAGCTAAATAAACAAAACTGCTAACCATAAGACAGATAAATTAGGAACTTGCTACTATTGTTTCAAAAGAATTTACCTCTCAGGGCTCTTTTAAATAGTGCTTTCCCAGTATAAGTATTTCTAGATCTTTGACTATAGTGGTAACTAGAACAGGCCTTGAAACATAAAACTAACATATTAAGAAACTCAGCTGAACTTCATTTGGAAATAAAAATAAAGCATCTCTAAAATTTTAGTTTCAGTGTATGGGAAACATGTACTTTGATCTATAAAAATTCCATTTTCACCCAGCTTTTAGGGAACATGTGTAATATGTAAAGTGAAATAAGCTTCTACTACAGAAAGAAGAACTCAACATTCAGTACTGTTTTTTCCATCATGGTAGCTGACCATAAAATTCTGCATAAGAACCTCTCATGCATTAACCCTGGACTATTGGAAATCTAAAACAGTTGCCTGGAATGGTATCATCAAGATCACTTCTCTACTTTTTGCTCTTCCCTTTCTGTTTATATTTGCTCTTTTTCAGTTTATATTTGTAGAAAGAAACCCTAACATAACCACCCCCCAAAAAAATGAACCTTGTAGAAATGTGTTTCCATTAATAATGTTATTAGAATTATTAGTAATTATTAACTTTATTATTATTGTGATTATTAATGATATTTAATAAATACCTGTATACACAAAAGTTTGATCTTTCTTTTCAGAAAAATCCAAGAGTTCAATATTTAAAATTTAGACTTAAGCTACTTTACACTTAGACTACTAGGGTGATATGATACTTAGACTACCTAAGTGAGCAATTCTCCCTAAAGCAGCAAAGGCTCTACTCAGGTTCTAGCTACATATTAGTAGGGTTAGTAATAATTTGCACTTACAAAATGCTTTATGATTTGCAAAGCACTTTCATAAACATTACGACTTTTGACAATCACGTAAGGTAAGCTATGTCAGTTTTAATATCCTCACTTTACAAATGAGAAAACCTCAAGAGGTTAAATGATTAAATCAAGTAAGGTCATGCAGATGGAAAGTGGCAGAGCCCAGGAACGCACCTGGATATTCTGACCTCCACCTAACACTCACGTGATTCAACACATACAAAATAACTTTTATTGTTCTTATTGTTACTGAAACAATAATTCCCAACATTTTTCTACCCAGTAGTCTTAAGGGGATATCATGGACTCAATATGACAGTGGTTCTCAACTAGGAATCAAGGGAGGCTATGCATGAAGTTTAGAAGAGTCAACATGTAGTTGATTCTGCTGGGTGGCCTGAGTGAGAATACTGTACAAGAGTAACACATAGTCATTATTAATATCAAAAAGAAAGGAAAAAAAAGATTTAAAAAAAGAAAAATGACTCACATTCCTACTACCCAGGGATAATTAATACTATTAACATTTTGGTATATATTCGGTCTTTTATATCTTTATTAACTTTTTTTTCAAAAATAAGATCATACTACTACAGATTTTTTAAAACCTTTTTTTGTGTAATTCATCACAAACACCTTATCATTTCAGTAAACACTCTTCTGCAGCATCATTTTATAGTGACTGCAGAATATTTCATTATCTAGTATATGTTTAAGTTCAAGATGTAAATGGTTTCATAATACTTTTACAATCCTCAACAGTGTTAGTCTGGTATGTGCGTGTGTGATTTATCTAAAGGAATCCAAAATTATTTAAAACCACCTCTTTTCTAGCTATCATCTCCTATATATTTGACCTTCTGAATAATTCTTAAATAAATATTTGGTAATTAACTTTTTTGTATTTATGTATTTCTTTTTATCAATATTTTTTATTGAAGTATAGGTGATTTACAATGTGTTAATTTCTACTGTACAGCAAAGTGATTCAGTTATACATATATACATTCTCTTTTTTTACATTCTTTTCCATTATGGTTTATCATAGGATATTGAATATAGTTCCCTGTGCTATACAGTAGGACCTTGTTGTTTATTGTATTTCTTTTAATAATATCAATATATATTTTTCAGGACTTCCCTGGCGGTCCATTGGTTAGGACTCTGCACTTTTCACTGCCAAGGGCCTGGGTTCAATACCTGGTCAGGGAACTAAGATCCCACAAGCCACGCAGCATGGCCAAAAACAAAAACAAAATTTTAAAATATATATATATTTTTTTCATCTCTTTGCTTTAGGGTGCAGTACTAGCAGCTGTTTCAAGTCACAAATTCAACTCATTCTATGGGGACCCCCCTGAAGAGTTGCCAGACTTCTCCGAAGACCCTACCTCCTCAGGTAATTGAATCATTCATTCATTCACCAGTGTGAATCATTTAGTGTCTACGTCCTTTCTCTTCCATTATGAATAAACTTTTTCTGTGAATCTAGTCAGATCCTCCATGGGATTCTAAGGAAGTTTGTCAGCAGCCAAATTCCATCCACATGTGTCTGATTCCTTTTCATTTTAATACCGAAATTGCTTTCCCCTACTGCTCCAAACTGACATTTCACTTTTTTTAATCTCGGAAATACTTCTTCCCCTTTCTCCCCTCCAGACCCAACACTGCACTTCATCCAATCCAACATTTGTAGTCAGTCTTTTTGAATCTTTGTGATTACCTTCTACCTCAACAAAAATTTCCGATGTAAGATTTTCCCCATGTCAACTGTAGCAGATCAGACTTTGGAACAGCACTGCTTTTAATTGAATCTTTCAATGTAAAGCTGTCTTGTGAATTATCTCTAGAAACAATTTACAAGTTCATCTCTTTTTATAAAGTCTATAGCAAGTCTACACAAGCATTCAAGGGAGAGGAGCATAGAAGAAGAATTGCCTATTTTGATGAAATGTATATAGATACTCCTGAAAAAACCCACTAATGTTCACAAAATTATTTTATAAAATGCTCAGATTTCCATCTTACCAGTGAGGTATTCTCAAGGATTATTTACTAAAAATACATAGGACCCATTTATATGTATATGTAAATGCATGTATATGTGTTACAGTTTTTAATTTTTATTTGTGTATTTATTTACTTAACTCCTATATCATATGTCCTCTGGCCTCAACTTTTCTTTCTTTCATTAGAGTTACTCAGTATTTGTCATGTGGTTGACTTTGCGCTAGTGATTTGATTTTTGTACTCTCGGACTGGCTCATTCAATATTCGTGCATCAGCATTGGAATCAAGGCCCAGGGCCCTTCCTAAAGCATGAGTTGTTTGTCCTTCACTGGTAGCCATATAGGAAGAATGGATGTGCTAAGCTTCTTACATGTTGGAACCATGAGCAATTTGTCAGTATTTATGCTTCTTCCTTCCTCTGTTATACACGTATGTGCACATACCTGCTCACATGCGCATATACACACAGAGAGTTTCTTACCAATTGATATGTGCTTATACCTTGTGCAAAATAACGGGATCAAATTTCCCATTCCAGCAGCTATATAGTTCCTTATTTTGACCTTTACCAATTGGGATGTGAATCTTCCTCTTTTGAGTGAAGGTGATTTCCAAAAGCATTCATAAATGGGAATCTTAGAGAAGAGACTCTGAGGAGGACTTGCTCTTTTCCTCTTGTGCTGACTTGGTAATTATCCAGAGTCCTTCCCACAGGAAAGGCAAGGCAAGGCGTAGTTGTGTTATAGGTATATTCCCCACCACTCCCTATTGTTTCACATCTGTCTTTTTTTCTTCCAGTCCATTTTGTAGCTTTCTGTTGTTGTTAGCTCAGACCTCCTTCTTCCTTCCTCACACTCAGGTTACAGTTAACCCTTTCTAGGGGGAGTGAATCTAGTAACAGTTTTATGTTGTACTGTGGCTACATGATATAGTCACATACTTGGAATATATTTAGAGATTTTGGGTCAAGATCTCTAATACCATTTTCATCTTTAGAAATGGGAAGAGAGCAGGATGGGCCTTGCAACAGCTTCAAAGACCTAATCTTTAATGTTGCCCCTTAATATTTACCTCTGCTTAGCAAGACTTTAATGAGCTCTTAAGTATTCCTTTCTGTGAAGAGCTGGATTTTTCTTTTAGGAAAAGGAATTGTCTATAGTTATGCTTATTTTCTATTAAATACATTTTTATTGCCCAATTTTTTTCTGTTTTTTTTAGCACAATCTCTAAACGATATGGTTGAAATAGTTTCTGATTACAGTATTTACTTTTTTAAAAAGGAAATTTCTCACACTGTCTTGTGGGTAGCCTGCAAGCCCTCAAATTAGTTGTTCACAATTTTGCATATATTGCTTCCCTTTCCTGTAGTCTCACCCTATGCCTTTTTTTTTTTTAAGTTTCTGGAGCTTAACGATCTTGCAAGCAGTCTGTATCTTCATTCGATGTGCTAAATGTCTCTAAAATACTTTTGAGGGCACTGTCCAGCTGCTATCAATAAAAGATAAAATTGTTATGCAGTGTAAGTGTCTGATTACCTACCCTAAATGAAGAGGAAATTTTTATATAGTCAGATGTCAAAGACAAAGGAAATGTTTGAAGAAAATTTTAATGTTTTCCTAAATTTCACATGGCTATCAGGAATTATCATATGTTCCTAAAATTAACTTTTAATACTAGGCCATTTAAAGGAAGGCATTATCTATTATTGTCAGCATTATTTATCAAATATCTGTCTTTGCAAATTTCCTTTACTGCAACTAACAGCAATGGTTGTATGGTTAGTTGCAGAAAGCCTATGATGTTTTATCTAGACTCATATAAGGGCTTTATACTTACATAAGTTAACACATCTGTATGTTCATTTTTCAGTGCATTTTTATTTTTAATATTTTCATTAATTTTAAGCCTAAATTCTTCTCTATTTAATCCTAGCCCTTTAATTCTCCATCATTTATTTTAAGTTCCCAATGTTATCCTTTCCACTGCCTTTCTGCTCAAATTTGCATGGGTTTGTTTTACAGTACAAAACATAAAGCACTTTTCATCTTTACCTGAACGTTCTTCCAGAAAGCCCATGTCAAAAAGAAAAAAGTGATCATAAAGCATGTGCTTGTAGGGCAGGGGTGAGGGGGTGGGGAAGGAGGAGTTAGAGAGAGAACAGTATAAGGTCGCCAACTGTCCTTTCTTGAGATGGACTGTTTTTCATCTTTAGATAATGCCTTTTCTATTCTTTCTGTGAAATGATAGTAAATGGTAGTTTGTTAAATTTTTTTTCTTAATGACCTTGCTTGACAAAATTAAAAGCTGGCAATCCTATTTTCCTCCCCGCAAATTCTATTCAAAGTCATAATTTTAATTTTTAAAAAATAATTTAACAGAGCCTTTCATTAACAGTGGAAAAAATAATTTAAAATGAATCAGTTTGTCATCTAAAGAAGAGTTTAACATGTTTAGGTATGCTGTTTACGTTGTAAAATAATGTTTATATAATATATTTTTTCCTATTTTGATTATTGAAATTAGTCCATTATACATTCTCTAGAATTTGTTAGGTTTAATCTTAAGATAAACAGTGTATTGTTGCTTTGTTACTTAACAAAGTGGAAATATTCTGTTCTTGTCTTTCAAATCAAAGAAGTCAGAATCAGAACCCAGGGGATGTTCTCATGGAACACAAGGGCTCACTTTGGGCTCAGCTAAGAGACCATGCTTCTTGTGGCTCATCTACTGGGCCCAACTGTGGCTTGATAACCCGCTTGCTCTAAAATCATACTGTTTGTTGTTTGTCCATATGCTGCCTTCCTCCTAGGACTTCTAGCAGCAGAAAGTAGGTATCCCTTTGCTTTCCTCTAAGGTTTATCTTTTATGCAAAAGTGTTTGGCTTTGCATGGTTCATAATCAGCTTGACTTTTTCCTTGGCTGTTTCTGCTTAGATGTTTATTTATGAATTTTAACACTGCTTGACCATACAATGAAAACTTGGATATATTGATTTCCTGAAGCATTGTTATACAAATAATACTAACTTCTTACTTCTTTCATAAGAGGAAAAAGAGGCAGTGTTAAAATTTTAAGTGCACTTAATATTATTTCACATCTGAATTTCAAGCACAAATACATTAATTCCAGGGAAAGGCTAACAATTTATTTTATAGTTTGCTTTCAAGAAAACTTTCAGGGTAAGTGAACGTTCCTTTAATCTATAAGCAGTTTTTTTTACTCTGTTACTGACTCTATTTTTAGCTTATTGACATGGAGCTGTGAAGTAAACTCCTGGATTCATGTCTCTTAACTTCTACCATCAGAAAGAACATTTATAAAGAATAATGTAATGGCTAGATTTTCATTACAAAGGGATATAATTTGAGTATGTGAGAACAGTAAAGTAAAAAGTATGTAAGAAATTACATACACACAAATGAGTATTAGTAAAACTAAGGCAAACTAAATGAGATGGGTGGATTGTATCAATGTCAGTATTCTGGTTGTGATATTACACTATGTTTTGTAAAAAGTTACCAGTGAGGAAAATAATACAGGGATCTCTGTATTATTTCTTACAACTGCATATAAATCTCCAATTATCTCAATAATAATTTCAATTAAAATAATAGAATAAATCTTTACCTCAACATTGTGCTTACTGGGGGGAAAGTATATAAGAGACAAAGATAAATAGAAAATCTGGGTGCTACTAATTAAATTCATTGCCACACTTTCTTGCATTAATTACTTGTAGCTCAAATTGCAGCCAATTTAATATAAAAATCTCACAGTATGTTAGTTATCTGTTGCTCTCTAATGAATAAGCTCAAAACAGCATTTATCATCTAACAGTTTCTATTGGTCAGGAATCTGAGCATGGCTTAGCTGAGTACCTCTGGCTCAAGATCTCTCATGACATTGCAGTCAAGATGTCATCCAGAGCTGTGATCTCATTTGAAGGCCCAGCTGTAGGGGGAATCCTCTTCCATGCTCACTCACATGGGGGTTGACAGGCTTCAGTTCCTCACGGACTGTTGGGCCTCTCCATAGGGCTGCTCACAGCCTAGGAGCTTGCTTACCCTGGCACAGATGATCAAAGAGAGAGGGCAAAAGTAAGAGAGAGCACCCAAGACAGAAGCCACAGTCCTTATAACCTGATCTCAGAAGTGACATCCTATCACTTCTGCCCTCTTGTGCTTGTTACAAGTGAGTTAATAAGTCCAGCCTACACTCCACGGAAAGAATTGATTATATAAGGGTGTGAATACCAGGAGTCAGGGATCTTGGGGGCCATCTCAGAGACTGCCCACTATGTACAAGTTAATAACCATTGGAATGTAAGACACTTCCCCTTTGTAACTGTTTTTGTTTCTCCAGATTTAGTACCCCTCTCCTTTTTTTTTTTTTTTTTCAATCAGCAGACCTATTGTGTCATTTGGGAATGAAAACATCTTGGAGGTATCAAGTAGTGCTTTTCCTTAGTTGTAAGGCCTTATTATGAATGGGCACTTTAACAACCAGCAGAATGTTATTTAAAGTACTTTGACAAATTTGTGCCCAGTGATGTTGCTATTTGGAAATACAGATTGTTTTAACAAGTAAAATGGCATTAGAATTATGGTATCTGTACTCTGACAGAATACATTTGCAGAGTTTTTACTTCTTTTAACTAATAAATTTTAAGGCATCTGCACTATAATCTATACATAAAGAATCTAAAGCATTTATCACCATGTGTAAGTTTTCATAACTTGAATTGGATATAGCACAGATGCTTAAGTCCAAAATACAGTTTTCATTACAGGATTCACTGTTGCTTATAACTTGACTGATAACCAGGATTTGCTTTGTACAGTGGGAATAAAACCTGTTGTCCAGGGGTAGGGGTGGGGGGAGAGATTGACTGCAAAGGGACAAAAAGGAACTTTTGTGGAGTGATGAAAATGTACACCTAAACTGATGAATTTTAACTTAATTCTACCTTAGTAAGCAGATTTTTTTTAATGCTACTGTGCTTGCAAGGAAGGGCTTTAATTGAGTGAGTGATATGAATGTATGTGTACTGATTCGGTGTTATATAAATAGGACTGCTAATGTAATAGGAAATAGAGGTTATTGATAACTCTTCAGGAGTAACTAGACTAGATTGAGATGCTGAATTTGCTCAGTGATATTAAGTTTTATAGCTATACATATAATTTTTAAAATATACACAGACAAACCTTTGTTGCTGAAATAACTGCATACATGGGTATATATGCGGTTTATCAGATGTATGCAGTGTATACATTTATCAAAACTCATTGAATGGTACACTTAAGATTTGTGTATTTCACTCTGTAAATTTTACCTGAGAGAGAGAAGTATTAAAATCTATGCTGATGTACTTAGAGGTGAAGTGTACTGATGTTGACCATCTGCCACTTATTTTGAGATGAATGAAAAATAAGATGAATTGATGTGTGGATAGATATGTGATAAAGCAAATATCGCAAACTGTTAATTGTAGAATCTAGGTGGTGAGTACAGTTCTTTCAACTTTCCATATGTTTGAAACTTTTTATAGTAAAGCTAGGGGGAAATAGTTTTAAGACAGACTCAACCTACTTTGACATTGAGAACGTTTTTAACATTCTACTATTTATTTTTCTGTCCTCCTTTCAGGTTATTTTTACTCAGTCAACTTTTTTATGAGACTTTTCCACTCTTGTAATGAAACTGTTCTAGACTCAAAGTTTTATTGACCTTTAAAGCATATTTCTCTAAAGAAATAGACTCAGAAAACATTTTTAAAACAGGTGATGTATTTATGCTTCTTTTGATTATTACTTCATAACAGTAGTAGAAAACTTTTTAGAAAGTATCAGTGAGATTCTTGGAAAAAGTAGAAACGTTCAAAGTTAAAATGTATGATTATCAACCTAATTTTTAGATACAAACTTGATTACCAAATGAATTATGCAAAAGTTAAAGCAAAATACTATTCTGAAGACAGGGCTTGATTACTTTCTAATAAATTTATCATTGTGAAAGTTTGGACCAAAGCGTAAGAAAATAAACCTTATATGGTAAACAAAATTCAGGTCAAAAAGAAAATAGAAATTGGATATCATCTCATTACCAAATGCAGATTATTCAGGTGTGTTGCTGAGGGTAAAACATGGTTTCAGGAGGGACCAGTCTGTAGTGGAAGGACTAGGTGTTAGAGACCTGGGTTCTAAGACTCACTCTCGTACTCACTGATGTGGCTCCACAGTCATTTAACCCCAATGAGCGTCCGATTTTTCAAATATAAATACACTTGTCTACAGGACAGGGTTATTGTGGAATCACATAAGATAATAAGTGTGAAAAGCACTTTGGAAATTATAAACTGTTACACAAATAGAAGTATTAAAATAATTTTCATTGTAACTTTGAGGAAACTGCTATAAAATAAACTGTTTTCAGTGGTTACATATTTCTCATTATAATATTTTATTTGCAATTCTTTAGAATTTGCTCAGAAAACAATCATTTTCATCGAACCTATTTTATTGTGTCTCTTTGTACAAAGCACACTGCAAAATGCAGCCTGGAATACAAAAGTGAATAGAATACCTACAGTCCTGCCATTAGATAAATTGCCCTCTGAGGTGAACTTATGTACTATTGTTTGTTTGTTTTTTAAGATAGTTACAAGTTTATTCAGCGGTTTTATAGAGAAAAACATCCTTTTCAGATTTTGAGGAAAGTCAATAGCTCTTTCAGATATGACAGTATTGATCAGCAAAATAAATACTAGTAACAGCTTAAGAGCTTGTGTGTGTTGTGTTGTTGTGTTGTGTTGTATTAATTATTACTACTGCCTCTGTGTTTAAAACAATAGCAATGGAAAAGCCCCAGAAATGTCTTTGTGTACATTTATATTTTATAATGAACTGAAAAATTATGAGATTTTTACATGGGCTGGGTGTTGAACTGCAGATATCAATCGTACGCATCTGTGAGATACATGGTTCTGCTGGTCATACTCAAAGAAATAATGAAACTTAGAAGAGGTGTCAGTAGGAAGTGTTAAAATGATCAAGGGTAAAGAAAGATTTTGAGGTTAGACCAAATATATATGTTTATTCAATATGAAAAGACAAAGGAGAAATTGAATAAAAACTATAATTTTCCTAGCTAATTCCAGAAACTTTAAATTAGGGGCACTTTTCAGAGCTTGAAATAGGCAACTTGAGTACACCTGTGCAAATGCTTCCTTTCACGATTGAAAACCTACAAAGTTAATCACATTTGGGTACAAGATAAGACTATAAATCAGTTCAAAACAGGTGACAGATCCAAGGAAATTAAATAGACCTGTTGACCTGGTGGGTCTTGCCTACTAGAGACACAGGCAATAGATGCCTTTGTGCTTTCCAGCAAAGCATCCGCTGGGTCTGCCAGAGCACATTGGAAACCTAGGTGGAGGTGTTGAGTTCCTGCTCATCCACCTCTTCTCTGAGACTGTCCCAGCTCCTCCCTGGGCAGCCCTATTTCTGTACCACTTTATTTTTTATCTCTTCTCTATTGTTTGCTTCAGGGTATAGTATGCCTACTTCCCACACCAGCCTGAGAGCCCCTTCCTTGAGACCAGGGATCATACCTGTTTTCCCTGAACCCCCTGCCTCACACCTGGCAAAAAGCAGGAACATTTGGTAAAGGTTTTTTGGTTATTGTCTGACCCAGTAGGGTTCAGGTTCTTTTCTAACCTCCATATCCATGCATAAACCACACGTCACTTCTTGTTGAAGGCTCCCCCTATGTTTCCTAGTGCGGCCAGTTACTGTAGTAAGTCAAGAAGAGCATACACTTTGGATCCAGACACACTGGGGTTGAGTCCTGGCTGTACCACTTCTAGCTGTGACCTTCCTTGACCTCTCTGAACCTCAGTTCCCTATCTGGAAAGGTCAGGTACTATATTTACCTTACTGTGTTGTCCTGGGGATGTGCCTGACACATAACAAACACTAATTGGGAGCTGCTATTGTTGTTTCTTTGGTACTTAATTAATTCAAGGCATAGTTTGTGGATGTAATAAAATGGATCAAATATACACCTGCCTTAAGGACCTCACAGCACAGAAACGAAGAGTGAGCAAACGCAAATGTAGGGTAGTGCTGGTAGGACAGGAATTGCACAGAGCTTTGGGAGTTCACAGACCAACAAATGATACGCCCCTGATCAGGGACAGCCAAAATTCCTTCCCAGTGGTTAGACTTTCCATCTTAGTATTCGCTAGATACAAGGTGGTTTTATTTTAATCTTATGGTATTAATAAACTACTACCTAGATTATATATCAGCATAAGCAGTGCTGGATAGAGACAATACAAACTAGGTAAGATTACTGAGTGAAAATGATCATTAGCTTTCTGTGCTATCTGTTGAATTTTTTTAATATACAAAAAAACCCCATATTTCATTAGTATTTTTGTTGTTGCAGTTAATCCAGAAGCTTAGAACTAGCTTTACTAACTTTATAAACCTGGCATCATTTAATTCTCCTGTTGATGATGTGCTGGGGTCAGGGGCTCAGTGGGATATTTGGGACTAATATCTTTACATCATCTCTTGCTTTCCAAGGCTTTCAATAAGGGACGAGAGAGCTGACTTTTAACTAATTTCCAGATTTTTTTTTCCTATTCAGAACAAAGTAAAAGTCCTGAGAAGAGCAGGTAGAAGGAAGTGGATTAGGTTAATACATTTTCAGGAATAGCAGGGGAAATGAGGACTGGTTTCTGCCTTGTACCTTTTTTATTCTGCTTAGTACCCACTTAATATTTTCGACGAAAGAATACCAATAGCCTGGTATGTGTAATTATTCAAAATTTAAAAGTATCCACAGTCCCATCAACAGATGAATGATCAAATTGTGGTACATCCCCACAGTGCTCATTGCAGCTCTATTTACAATAGCCAGGACATGGAAGCAACCTAAGTGTCCATCAACAGATGAATGGATAAAGAAGATGTGGCACATATATACAATGGAATATTACTCAGCCATAAAAAGAAATGAAATTGAGTTACTTGTAGTGAGGTGGATGGACCTAGAGACTGTCATACAGAGTGAAGTAAGTCAGAGAAAAACAGATACTGTATGCTAACACATATATATGGAATCAGAAAAAAAAAAAGGTTCTGAAGAACCTAGGGGCAGGACAGAAATAAAGACGCAGACGTAGAGAATGGACTTGAGGACACCGGGAGGGGGAAGGGTAAGCTGGGATGAAGTGAGAGAGTGGCATGGACATATATACACTATCGAATGTAAAATAGATAGCTAGTGGGAAGCAGCCACATAGCGCAGGGAGATCAGCTCAGTGCTTTGTGACCACCAAGAGGGGTGGGTTGGGGAGGGTGGGAGGGAGACGCAAGAGGGAGGGGATATGGGGATATATGTATACGTATAGCTGATTCACTTTGTTATACAGCAGAAACTAACACACCATTGTAAAGCAATTATACTCCAATAAAGATCTTAAAAAAATAAATAAAATAAAATACCCTTTTCCAAAGGGTGGGTGACTGTGGGGGGGGGGAAGTTGTGGTACCTCCCTGCCATGGAATACTACCCAAGAATACAAAGGATTAAACTATTGATACATGCAACAACCTCGATGAATCTCCAGAGAATTAATGCTGAGTCAAAAAAGCCATTCCCCAAAGGTTACATACTGTATCGTCTCATTTATATAGCATCCTTGAAATGACAAATTTATAGAAATGGAGAACAGGTTAGTAGTTGCCAGGGGTTAGGAGGGGGAAGGGCAGGGGGGAAATTATTGCACTTATAAAAGGGCAACATGAAGGATCCTTGTGGTGATGGAAATATTCTGTAGCTTGACTATATCAATGTCAATATCCTGGTTATGATATATGAGAGTTTTACAAGATGTTACCATTGGGGGGAAGTGGGTGAGGGGTACATGAGCTCTTTCTGTACTATTTCTTACAACTGCATGTTAATCTACAATTATCTCAAAATAAAATCAAATTTTTAAAAAATTAGCTACAGTAATTTCCATGTGGATAACCACTTGATGTGTGTCTTAAGCCCCAGATTTTTAACATAATTAAATACTGCAAAAAGCAGTTGCTTATATAGCAGCTTTTTTTTTTCCATTGTAGAAACCTTGGAACATATGGACAAAAACAGAATGAAGTATAAATAGGAAAATAAACATAACTACTATTACCTTTTTGGTATTTTTCATTCTGTTGGGGTTTTTTCTGAATTTGTAAATATATTTTTTCACTTATAATTGGGGATATATAGTTTATGAGGTTTTGCAGTCTGCTTTCTTGAATTTTCCATCATGCAGATTTCTCTGTCTTTAAAATTCTTCAAAAACAATTTTCATGTGGCTATATATTCCCTTATATGGATGTTTTATAATTTATGTAATCATTCCCTAATTATTAGATATTTGTCCATTTTATATGATCGATATCCTTACACATAAAGCTTTTTCTACATTTCCTATTTTTTCCTTAACGTAGGTTTTTGTAAATGGAATTACTGAATCAAAGTGCATGAGCATTTTTAAGGCTCTTTGATATAAATTACCAGATTGCTTTCTGGAAAAGTGGTACTAATTTACATTGTCACCAATAAGTGCATGTGAATGGATGAGGTCCAAGACCAAAAGTAGCTAGAAACAGCATAAAGTTCCAGAACAGAAAGATTCAAGATTTTTATCTTTATGTAAAGCAAAGTTTCTCTACTTCAGCACTATTGACATTTTGGGCTACATAATTCATTCTTGTTGGGGAGCCATCTTGGGCATTGGAGGATGTTTAATAGCATCCCAGGCCTCTACCCACTAGATGACAGTAGCACAACCTATCTCCTCACTCCAACCACCACCACAGTTGTGACAACCAAAAGTGTCTCCAGACATTGCCAAATGTCCCCCTGAGGGGCAATATTGCTTCTGGTTGAAAACTATGAATCTAAGAGTTACATGTGCAGTGAGGCACTTATCGTTAGAATGTCTCTGACACTGTGTACACTAACGTTCTGAAGCGTAGCCTCTCAGGGTGCTTTTCTTTCTCTGAAGTATGTATGTGCATGTTGTCTGCAAAGTAAAATTGGCTAATCACTTCTTTAAGGCTAAGTGACTTTGTTACTGCTCGGTGTGTATTTCTCCCTGCTGCTACCTCTCTGGATTCCTGGTTATTAGAGGAAATTTAAAGAAAGTGACCACACTGCCCTTCAAAAATGATTTCCCCTAGTACCTAATATGGTATTTGAAAGTGTCAGTCAGTATACCTGCCCTTTGTCTTTGTCCTTTGAATAAAAAGGGCCCCAGTAGACTAAGAACAACTTGGTTCCCTTGACTTTGTATGTAAAGGAAGGAGAAAGAGTGGAGTGGGATTTTTGCTAACTTAAGTTTGAGCCTTAAAAATCATAAGAAACCTGTTTTACACAGCAGGAGCTCCTAGTTGAAGGTTTGTCCCTCAGATCTACAGCCAACCTTACCTTCCATTCTTGATGGAATGCACCTGTGTGAAATGGCCACCTATGTTACTTCTGTAATATTTCAAAACATCATGGGGTCACTGGAACCCACACTCTGTTTCTGATGTATTGATATAACGTTCTGCACCCAGATCTTCTAGTAGCTCAGTTATAGTTGATGAATTTCCTTAATTCAAGTAAGACAAGATTCAATTTACTTTGAAAAATGAGGAACACACAAATACGTCGTTAAGAACATAAACTCACTGCAAATACTCTATCCTTAAGTGATATGAAATGCATTTAAGTCTATTTTTCAGTAAAGACCTGAACCTTTGAAGTTCTGTCTGTTAGCCCGCAGTTCTGAGGTGTAACATTTAGCTTATGAAGGTTAGTTTGACATTGACTTTCTCTACTGGCTGTTTCTGTTTGTTTCCCTTAGGAGCAGTCTCACAGGTGCTGGACAGCCTGGAAGAAATTCATGCACTTACAGACTGCAGTGAAAAGGACTTAGATTTCCTACACAGTGTTTTCCAGGATCAGCATCTTCACACACTACTAGATGTAAGTCTTTCGTGTTATTAATTTTTTTGGGTAAGTTGAACATTTACCATACCGTTTTACTTTACATGAATATCCAAATGTCCATCATAACAGTCCTTTTTCAGTTGCTTTCAGTCTGTGAGAAACGTGGGAAGTCATCCATCATAGATTCATAACTGAAATATAGTATCTTATATATGGTACAAATGCAGTATAGCCTAACAAGTCACAGTGGAAAAAGTTATATATTTTATATATGTGTTTCTATTAGAAGAATCCTTCCTGAATCTTAGCTGTGATTACCTTTTATTGCTTTTAAACATTGTTTTCAAACATTGCACCTCAAACATGAATATAGGAGAGAGAAAAGTAAGATATTGTGCAATGGACTGTATTCACATACACATTTCATACTTAACGTTGCTGGTTTTCATAAACTCAGTGTCTTCTCCTTAAAACGTAAGAATGTATTCCATCATTAAATATGACAGGCTCCACTGACAGATAAAAGGAAAAGTCAGAAGCTGACAGTTCACATCTGCCTTCATTTCAGTTACATTTTAAGTAAAATACCTTTCTTATAGAACTTGGTTAACTTCAGCAGTGAAAACTTTCTTAGTGTACATATTAGTCTACTAGTACATATAAGTCTTTTTACAAGAAAAATCTTCCCTTAATAAGAGAATTATTTTGCTTTGGGATGTCTAGAACTTTTTGGTGCTCACTCTGATTAATCAACCATGTGACGTGGATTAAACTAAAGCAAAATTTCCCAGAATGTGTTCTACAGAGCATTGCTCTGGGAGATAGTGGTGGGTCTTGCCATTCGAGAGGGGGGAGTAGATCTTAAATTTATTGGTTAAATTATTTAGTGACTATATAAGTTTGGAAAATGCTGCATTCTTTATTCCCTTTATACGGATTCACAATGGGTGTTAGTATATAGCAGCTCTAAGATGTCCTATAGCAAAGAAACCTTATTAACTCTAATAGCATTTCTCAAACTAATTTGGGCAGAGAACTTTTATTCACAATCCTGTCGAATTGGTAAGGACCAGTTTGGGAAAAGCTAAGCTAAGAGTGTCATAGTATGTTTCAACTTCACACTAAGTGCAGTCATAGGTATCTAACAGTTGCTTCTATCCATAGATTTGGTCAAATCAAATTAATTATTATTTTTTGATTAGTTAGGCTTTTTAAATAGTGTATGTATTAATTCAGGACTAACTGCTACAGCATGCAATCCTAAAATTTGAGTGGCTTACCGGAATAGAAGTTTATTTCTTGCTCACATCACAGTCCAATGCAGGTAGATGAGGAGGGGAGGAGCAGGAAGAGTCTCTTCCACAGAGGCATTCAGGGATCCAGGCTTCTTCTACTTTGTGATTCTGCCATCTCTCAAGGTTTTGGAATCTTCCACTGCATCCTTTGCATCCAGCCAGCAGATGAGAGAAAATGGAGAATTTTGCAGGGTCAAGGTTGGAAGTGGCCTGTATCACAGTTGTCCATATTCCATTGACAAGTACTAGTTACATGCTTACCTAGATGCAAGAGAACTGGGAAATAGTTTTTAAATGTACTAAGTGAAATAAGCCAGGTAGAGAAAGACAAATACTGCATGGTATCAATTATGTGTGTAATCTTAAAAAAAAGTCAAACTCATAGAAACAAAGTGGAATGATGGTTGCCCAGGCTGGGAGGTGGGGGAAATGGGGAGAAGTTGGTATTTATCTTATTTATAAGATAAATAAGGTCAGAGGATCTAATGTATAGCGTGGTGACTATAGTTAACACTGCATTTTATAATTGAAATTTGCTAAGAGAATAGAACTTAAGTATTCTCATCAAAAAAAAGATAAATACGTTAAGTGATGGATGTGTTAATTAACTTGATTGTGAGAATCCTTTCACAATGTATACATTTATCAAATCATCATGTTGTACACTTTAAATATATTACAATTGTACTTGTCAATTATACTTCAGTAAAGATAAAAAATGTGCTCAGGAAGATAAGGAAATGGGTTTTCTCTTTAGTGTAATTTATCCTAAGTAATTTGAGGACATTTCAGATTAAGTTTATTTCAAGTAACTTGTTACTTTCCTTGGACACCAAAAAGCCCTTGAAATTCGTTCTGTTTTGTGGATAGCTCCTAACATTCCATTTTGTCCTCCTTCGTTGTCATCATTGTTATTGTTAATGTGTTATTTGAATTAGAGTTTGACCTCTTTTCATGGCTATTTAAATATCTATTCTTCTTTATCATTGTTTCATATGATGCAGAAAGGTTTTTTTTGTTTTTGTTTGGTTTTTTGGCCGTGCCACAACACGGCATGCGGGAGTTCCCCAGCCAGGGTTCGAACCCGCGCCCTCTGCAGTGGAAGTGCGGCGTCTTAACCACTGGACTACCAGGGAAGTCCCAGATGCAGAAAGTTTTGACAATTGTGAATTTTCTGCAGAAGTCACAGCCTTTACTGGAACTAGTAAGTGGGATATTTGAAAGAAGCTGCAGCAGAGCATGGAGATTTGGTTTATTTCAGTGCAGTCAGTGGTTGTCATTGCTAAGATTTACTGGCCTTTAGATTAAGGACTTTTTGTCATTTAAAGGCTAAGAGTAGCCCAAATTAGTTTTCAAAGTTGGGTTTTTCTTACTTAATGTAACAAGGTATCTGAGCATACCAAGCTTGAGACTACAGGGGAAATGCAAGAACATTGCTAGCTTCTACAAGGAGGGGCAGATATTCAGACACAGACTGGACTTTGGAACTGAGCCAGGCTGCCAGACCTCACTGAAAATAATTATTTTGAATAACTGCTGCATTCTTGGGTAGACATTGTTACAACTTCAGAAGAGATTCATAGATTTTAGTGAGGAAAAACATGTTTAAAGTTCCTTTGGATTTTTATTAATTATATTTATATTCCTTTGTAATTTTTATTAATTACACTTAAAGAAGTGTCTGTAGTATCAGTATGTGCCCTGTCAATGCATCTCGATTTGAAAAGGAGTTGGTGGGCTGAAAATGAGTTGTGCCCAATAAAAAGACACCGCGTCTACAGAATTTTGCAGACAAGCACTACATGTGAAGCCCAGAACTCTCCTGAAATGACTGACTATGAGGCCGACCCTGGGCAGTGTTGGGATGCATTTGGTTCTGAAGATCCAAACTGAGCCATCCTTCAATGAAAGCTTAATTGTCATGAATGAAATAATGCCTTCATGATCTACAGCCCTTAAATATGTCTCATTAAGCTCTTGTTTCAGAGTTAACAGGCTACATTTCAATAATGTGATCAGTGAAGTGTTCAAATGGCTGCCATGTAGAGAAATCTAACTATTAAAAAAATGTTTCAATACTTCAGTACTTATGGTATGCATAAAAAAAAGGATCATGGTATGACCAACACTTGAGGGGAAGCTTTTCAAACTTTGACCATTCATTCTTCTTTCTTCTAGTGTTCCATATCCCATGCTTGGATTTGGATTGTATTGTTTTGCAGAATCATTGTTATCCTTTTCAAGAATTCCAAGTAGTGACACCTAGTGGCCTAGTTTTGTGGACCATGGCTTGATTGTTACTTAATCCCACTGAGCCATTTCATGAAATATCTTTATTATATTTAAATAATTCCTATTAATTCAATAACACTAAAAATCATTAAGTTTGCAGCCGTCATTTTTCAGCTGACAAAAAGAAACAAGATTAAGTTCCTGAGGAAGATAAAAGATTATGTAGTGGGCTTCCCTGGTGGCGCAGTGGTTGAGGGTCTGCCTGCCGGTGCGGGGGGCACGGGTTCGTGCCCCGGTCCGGGAGGGTCCCACATGCCACGGAGCAGCTGGGCCCATGAGCCATGGCCACTGAGCCTGCGTGTCCGGAGCCTGTGCTCTGCAGCGGGAGAGGCCACGGCAGTGAGGGGCCCGCGTACCGCAAAAAAAAAAAAAAAAAAAAGATTATGTAGTACTTTATTTTTTCTAGTCATGCCTTTAAAATAGTAACAAGCTCAAAATTCAAAGAAACGTTATTAGAATTGGTTTGGAGGAAACAAAACATCTGTCATATTGAAAGAATTTACATTAAAACAAAAGAAATACTGTGGTTCCACTGAGGGAGGAAATGCTTTCTGATTTGAATTCTAGTAAAACGCATCTAGTATAATCTGTAGTTAGAAATAGTTCTAGAACGTCTAAATATTTGCTATTCAACCAGTTCTACCTGGCACACATATGCTGCTTCTCATTTTGTGGGGAGAAATAAACAGGCTTGAGGAAGAAGTGTGCTTGGTCCAGCTTGTTCCAATATGTCTACTTTCAAAAATTAAAAGCAGTGGTACAGTGATGGTCTGTATCTGAAATATATAGATCAATTTTAATAAAATACAATTTGGAGTGTGTTTACTGAAGCTGCCACAAACGGGTTGGCTTAAGATAAGAAATTATTCTCTTACAGTTCTGGAGGCTAGAAGTCTTAAATCAGGTGTCAGCAGAGCCATGCTCCCTCCAAGTCTCCAGGGAAGAATCCTTCCTTGCCTCTTCCAGCTCTGGTAGTTGCCTGCAGTCCTTGGTGTTCTTTGGCTTCATTACTCCAGTTTCTGACTCCATCTTCACATGGCATTCTCCTCTGTATGTGTGTGATTCTATTCAGTATGTCTTCACATGGCCTTCTTGTAAGGACATTAGTCATTGGATTTAGGACCCGCTCTAATCCAGTATGACCTCATCTTAATTAATTACATCTGCAAAGAGCTGATTTCCAAATAAGGTCACATTCTGAGATTCCGGATCAACATGAATTTTGAGGGGACAATATTCAGCCCAGTACAGCATGGAAAACTAATTTTGCCCAGAAATGATTTTTCAAGTATGAGTGCAGATTACAAAAATCAAATCTAAAATAATGAAATGTTACCCTGTCGTTCATTAATTAGGCTTTCTTGGGAATTGGTGTTAAAGTGTAATTATGTCTTTTACTAATATTTTGAATCAGTTTTGGAACTTCCGTGTGATAACGTTGGATGGTGA